AAGCGTTTAAGGTAAAGGAAAACCAGGACAATATGTTTCAAATAATGCTTAAAAACTTTTGGCACAACACATACAAAAGAAATGAGCCAACAAGAACACAGGCAACACAAACATTGAAAAACCAACGCGATGCAATGGTGTCAGCCTTTACTAAAATGCTCGACAACAACAAACCGCCAGAACCACCGCCAAAGAAACCACCAGACGAGGATGACAGCGATGAAGAAGAAAAGAAGTTCAAACTGACAAAAATGATAGAAATAATGCTACGCAACGGCGCTACAATAGCAGATATCATATTAAACTTATCACACAGTGCAGTTGCAACAACTATAAATATCGCAGATTTAGTCAATCAGATAACAGCAGGAAATGCACAAGGTAGCAATAGCAATTCATCAAATGAAGCTATTAGTGTTCATAGTTCTCCACCTATTACTGTCCATAGTTCTTCATCAGAAAGTCCAACAGAAATACCAGCACCAACTGAAGACGAAGATTCAGAAGAAGAAGAAAACCAACATTTCAATTTTGAAAAATTAAAATCTAAATAATATTATATATAATGGGTATTGGTCAAAGTAAAAATGATGCAAATAACAGTATGGAAGACATTAAGACTTTAAGAGTAGATGAAAAAACAAGAGCAGATACTTTAATAATAAAATCTATTCAAGAATGTGTGGCACGAATTGAGAAATTAGAAAAAGAAAAATCTGACAAATTAATATATAAATTACCTGTTCAATTATGTAATTATTCATTATTTTGAATTAATAACATTAAGCCAATGGCTTAATGCTATTAATTACTATCATAATCCGTCATTTCACTTTCGGGTAATTTTGTTGAGGCATTGCTACACATATCATCTATTAAATCTTCTTCATCAACAAAATTATTTTGAAATCTTAATAATTCCTCGTCTGTTGGTCGTCTTTTTAACACTTTATAAAGTTTATGTATCCAAGAATTAGTATGAAAATTATAATTACCTCTACGATAAAATCCACCACATCTACATAGTTTCATGGCATATTATTATATTATATTAAATTAGAATATCTTTATTCATCATTTGTAATTTGAAATGCCTGTTCAAATCTGATATGAAACATTTTGTTAATGTCTTTAGCATTCATATTCACGTAGAAGAAACTATAAGGTGCGTCATTAACGGCTTGATGATACATATCTAATAATTGCTGTTTATCAACAATGGCGCTATTTTCTTCAATAAAACTCATTAATTCACTGGCATTTTTCAACCTAAAAATATATAATGAACTGGCATTTAAACGAATGATAGGCGCCAACACATTATATTTCTGTGTTGAACAAATTACGCTTACTGCATCGTGCCTGCCTCTTGTAAATAATCCATGTAATAATTTACTATATCTAACAAATTTAGGGTCGTCGGCGTGGTCATCTATAACGATTAATATTGAGTGCAGTTTCTTTATCTTTTTAGATTTCATATAGTTAATAATTTTCTTCTGTCTTTCGATTACATTTTCTAAATCACTTGGATTATAATTATCAAAATAAATTTGTTCTTTTTCATCATCTACATGTAGTTCATCCCTAATATATTTCTTTACTTCTGTAAAAGTTGGGTCATTATGAACGCTGGGGGAAAATATAAATATTCTTGCAAATGAATTTCTATAAACATTTAAGATAAGGTTCTGAACCAAGACCGTTTTGCCGCCTGTCGAACTCGCAACTATAATACTTCTAAATGGTAGTTTTGGCACGTGCTCATATTTAGATTGTTTGAATTCATAATCAGTTATGTTTATTGGTTTTATTATTGGGACATCTGTCATAGTTGATATTAAAGAAATATAGAAAATTATATTTAAAAATTAACTTGTAATTAATATTAAATGGAACATCATTTTTATGATATGCTGGTGGCGAATATCATAAAATGGAACAGGTTTTCCATTGCTTCAATCAATAAGCATTGAAGATAATTAGTTTGAAGAATTGCAATGAAAACTCCAAGTGCTGTGCCCCATCAATATTCTATTATGCATGAAATAATAAGATTAATTAGAATAATTTATCTTATTATTTAATATGCAAAGGAGTTATACAGATTATATTGATATAATAGATGAAGTAGAAAATATAGAACAAGTAATAATAACTGACAATAAATGTAAGAAAGTATGCTATTTTGTTTTAGAAATAATTAAGTTAGGAATTCAATATATCAAAAATAAAAATGTAAATATTAATATAAATGCCTCCAAAGAAGAAGCAAGAGAAACAAAAAGAGATTGAATGTGTCAAATGCGAAAAATGCGGTCAAACAATTAAACCATTAAATGAATTAGAATTAGATAAAGAACATGTTAAAGTTAAATGTTGGCCGTGTTCATGTGGTAGAACCATGCATACAGTACATACAGTAAAAAAGAAAGATGCCGACGGGAGCACAGTTGAAGAAAGTTGGGTAGAAAACTTCAAAAGTGGATTTGGTAGGTTATTTACACCTGAGAAAGAATGATGAAAAAATAGTATTTAAAGAGTAGATTTAACACCACTTCAAACGCATAAATAAATAAATAAATATATAAATATTTATATATAGAAATGTCTGAAGTTGAGAATGATGCTATTGCTGAACTATCAAAGAAGATAATGACAGTTAGTAAAAATGTTAAACTGTTGTACGAGATGATAAAAACTATTGACCAGAAACTTGATGCAAAGGCAAACGAACCAAAAAATAACAATGAAGAGAAGGAAAAGATTGACAAAATATTTGAAAAGAAAGGGATAGGCAGACCCAGCGGTGATTATGACACGAAGCGTAAAAAATATTGTGATATGTTAAATAAGGGACAAATCAAAAGTCCAAAAGAACAAACATTAGAATATTATAAACTAATTAAGGGTGATGATGGTAAATATGTAATTGTTGAAAATTAAAATATAAATAATTCTAATAATATGAATTTATTAGAATTATTTAGTGGAACTGGAAGTGTGGGAACCATAGCAAAGTCGCTTGGATTTAATGTAATATCATTAGACTTGAAAAATGCTGATATTAATTGTGATATACTTGAATGGGATTACAAACAGTTTGACAGAAATCATTTTCAATTTATTTGGAGTTCACCACCTTGCACAGAATACAGTATTGCAAAAAGAACAGGAATAAGAAACATTGAATATGCTAATAGTATTGTATTAAAAACAATAGAGATTATTGAATATTTCGGATGGCCGTATTTTGTTATTGAAAATCCACAGACTGGATTATTGAAAAGTCAGTCTTTTATGAATGGGTTAAGGTTTAATGACATTGACTATTGCAAATATGAACTTAAATATCGGAAAAGAACGAGGTTGTGGAATAACATTGATAAATGGAAACCCAGACCATTATGTAATAAAGATTGTGGTAAAGTGGTTAATAACAAACATATTGAAACTGCGCAACGGGCACCAAGTGGAAAGCGGGAAAATTGGTGCGAGAATTATGTAAAGCATAAGCAGGAAGATTTATACAAAATACCTGCTGATTTGATTTGTGAAATCTTGGTGAGTTTGACGGATTAAGGAAAACGAGTTTGGGGTTGGTGTTGAAACTTGAAGTTTGCAGGTTCGTCCAACGACAAAAGAGTAAAAATTATGAAACTTAAAATTTTGAAAATAATGAATTTTAAAAGAAGACAACCCCCTCCCAGTGTCCACACTGACCCCCTCCCAGTGTCCACACTGACCCCCTCCCAGTGTCCACACTGACCCCCTCCCAGTGTCCACACTGACCCCCTCCCAGTGTCCACACTGACCCCCTCCCAGTGTCCACACTGACCCCCTCCCAGTGTCCAAAACGAACCCTTTTTTCACACTCATCCAGAATACGGTATGTGGCATGAATAATACTAATAAGATAAAATTATTAGATTTATTCAATATATTTGTAATTGTCTTTGTGTTGGTTGGTTGTTTGGTTTTTTGTGTGGTTTGTTGTTTGGTGGTTTTTTTTCGGGACAGGGGGCTTACCCAGACCTTGATATTTATTATGCCTAAAACTATTTAAAGAAATGTTCTTTTACTATGGTAGGAGATGAAAGACGATATGAAAAAATGTAAGCAATGTGATACTACATATTCTTCTGATTTGTTTAAGAATATGATTAAACTTTGTGATTACTGCCGAGAACAAAACAGATTGAAGAGAGAGGAAACCAAAAGACAATGGAGAATTAACAATCCTGAAAAAGTATGGGAGAAGCAACGCAGATACAGAGAGAACCACCCTGACAGAGTACAGGAAAAGAACAGGAAATACAGAGAGAGCGAAGCAGGGAAAGCAACAATACAAGCAAACCGGCAACAGGTTCACTATTGCGAATTGTGCGATTATGAAGTTAAAAAAGGTAAGAAGTCTCAACACGAGAAATCTTTAAACCATCAATATTTTTTACAGAAAAGTTTGAACGGTGAAAAATTGGAACGACCGGATAGTAAAGAAATTGTAAATGGCGTGTTGTGGTTTAGATGTTTGAAATGTAAGAAGAAAGACATTTATTATTCTTGGTGCGACCATGTATCAAGTGAAGGACATATCAATAAATGTTGCGAGGTTGATTGAAATGGTTTAAGTTATTCTTTAAAATGAATAACTTGAAGCATTTTATATAGATTTTGGCGAGTGGTTTGATTATATGCTGGTGTGGCGCGGGGAGGGTAGTAAGAGATGAGGTCTGGGTAAGGTCCTTCTTGCTCCCCCACCCCCCACCCCCACCCCCCACCCCCCACCTCACCCCACCCCACCCCACCCCAACCCCCACCCCCACCCCACCCCCACCCCCACCCCCCACCCCCCACCCCACCCCACCCACCCCACCCCACCCACCCCACCCCAACCCCCAACCCCCACCCCACCCCCACCCCCCACCCCCACCCCCACCCCCCACCCCCACCCCACCCCACCCCACCCCACCCCACTTCTCACCTCACTTCCGCCCCGCCTCGCGTGTAGCCTAAGGAGTGCAGCACTCCCAGCAGGTTGTGCCCGCCCATCCGGGTGGCCACCACAAAGTCCGCCACGTCCTTCAAGGTGAGGCTCTCCGGCAGGTGCCTCGAAGAAAAAAATCAGTGGGCATCTGGGAGATTCTTGGGGTTTACCCTGGGTAAACCTGGGTAAGAAGAAAAATAACACGCACTGCAGGGAAAGCCGAGCAGATGTTCGATTGTGGTTTGGTCATTGCCATCTGGAGATTGTTGGCCCCTGGGTAAAAGAAGAACCTGGTAAACGCCTGACCAATTTGCCCCACCAAAGCGAATATGTTCGGCATGCCATTGAACAGGGCTTTAGTTGGAATCTGGATTTGTTGGCCCGCTCCCAGAAACTCCTGGCGATCCCCTCCATTAGACACCCCCGAGGTGTTTGGGACCCGGTCTCAAAACCCGGCTGTTTGAGGGCCCAAAATTCATCGGGAGCGTCTGTGGTAAAAAGACTGAGGAAAGACGAGAGCAGATGTTCCGATTATTGTGGTTTGGTCCTCCTTCGGGGAGCCAAGATTTTTTGATCCAAACAGTTCTTGCGGTCGGCCAAGGGCTCGGAGAACCGCGAAACGGAGGATGCCCCCAAGGATTTTGTGCAGGGAAGCTGCTCTAAAACAGGTGGTTGGTAGGGGCGCTTGCAGGTGCATTTGAACATCGGATGTGCGCCCTGCGCCTTCTTGGGTCCATGTCTCGTGGATGAAGCAGGTTGGTGAATCATTGCACCTACTGGATGAAATGCTCTCCCCCCATGAAGGTGGGAAATTGCCAGCAAACTTAATTCATTCAGGTGAATCCTTTGTCTAGACCTCCGCTAGTGGCAAGTTTACTTTGTGCTCCCGTTCCGTGATCCAAAGCTTTTGGTCGCCTCCGCCAGCAGTACCGGCTTCGTGTTGCCGGCCTGCTGCATTAAATGCTTGGTTCGACTCTGGTCTGCCAAGCCACTGTCGTGTTACAGCTGGCAGAGTGCATTCGATCCGCTGCGCCGGGATCCGAGGCTTTCGGAGTTTAACGAGTGCTCGTTGCGAGCAGAACCGAAGTGGATTACGGACTAGGCGGAGTCATAGCCCAGGGTCCACAACTGCCCTGCGAGACGGCACTCCCTTGTGAACCAGCCAGGGGTTGATTCTTCCAGGGCCGGGATCTTTCCACTGCCCAGTGGCCCTCTGGCCGCCGAGAGGATCTCCCGCAATGACACCCCGGAGCCGCCGAAGACGAAGGAGGGCGACAAAATCAGCCTCGGACAGGGATCCTAGGATCGATTCCCTCGTGGCGAGGAGGTGATCCGGAGCGGGAAACCCCGTTTACCCTCAAGAACCCGGGGATTCAAATCCCCAAACCACCGTTCAATCCAAACCGCCAATGGATTGGGGGTAACCTGAAGCTGGGGCCGGTGGAAAGATCGGCTTCACGGGTAAAACTAGAGGATCCAGTAAAGCAGGTGGAGTTCACATGTACCCTTCCACAGGAACCCGGAAGCCAAAGTCCCAGGTAACGATTGAAAACTGGCAAGATCATCTCCGAGCCCTGGGCACGGCAAACAAGGAAACTATGTGCAAAACCTAAGCATGCTAGACAATTCAAACATGCTATGAAGCATACAACACCCGGAAGCGAGGCAATGTGCCTGATGACTCACTTCCGATTATGACTCATTTCCCCTTTGTCTCGACTCAGTGATTCCATTGGCCTGCGTTCCATTGGCAACTGGAATCCAGTTGCAAAAGCACTCGGGTTCCAAGAGCACGTGTGGAAACTTCCGGGTCTCGACATACGCTTCAAAAGTTTGCACGCCCCTCGCCGGCTTGGTTCTGTTTACCCTTTGCCATTTTCGGGGGCTTGCAAAAACCAAGCCGCTAACATGCCCGCCCAAGCGAAGCATCTAAAATAACCCAAGGGGGTGAAAACCCCCCAAAAAAAAATCCGAGGAAACTGCCTTCAACCCCACCTCACCCCCCAAAACCCCCCCCTCGCCGCCCGTCTCTCCATCTCTCTCGGGGCCCCGGGCGGCAGGAAGCGGTGCAGGGCCCCCGCAAAGGTTTGGCCCAGCTCCGTCATCTTCTGCCGGTCCTTGGCGCAGCAGGCCTGCCAGTACCTCGCAGCCGACTCGCGCCAGCAGAGGACTCGAGTCGCTTTTTTGGGGGGGAGGCGGGGGGGTGGGCTGCTCCTTTCTCTCTTTGTGGCTGTTCTTTCTGTTCCTTTCTTCTTGTTCTTTCCTTCTTTTTTTTGAGGGGGGGGGCCTACAAAGCCAAAGCAAGAAGAGGCGTGTTCCAAGCGGAAAAGCACACAAGCAAGTTTTCTCAAAATAGGGGGAACCCTTAAAATTGGTGATTTCCCCCTAGTTTCCGAATGAAGCCATCCGAGAAGCGGGCCCCCTATCCTAAGAAACCCATACATCGATTATCCGCTTTGAACAGCATCCAAAAGGAAACTCGCCTTTAATTGGCCTCGAAGGTGATGTTAACCACAAGAACGGGAAGAGCAAGCAGCCAGAACCCTGTGAAATGGGGCAGGGAACCGGCGGCTTGGGGGCGACGGGGCAGCTTCTACCCTCAGCAAGAAGCAAGAGCTCAAACCCCAAACCAATCTACATTACAATCGGGGATGACCTGAAATATGACAGGCAGGGCAGAAAACACAACACCAGAAATAATAACATATATATATATATATACATATATATATATAAAGAAAGAAAGCGACAAAGGAAGCGGAAAACAAGCGATGAAAACAACTGGGGCGTTGTGTGGGGATTGCAGGCTTTGCTGCTTCCATTCCTGTTGCTTGGTTCAACCCTTGGGAGTGGATTTCTCCCAGCAGGGCAACACATGTCGTCAAACACTGACCCAGCCTGGAAGAACCCGCAAACGAATCCAAACGGCTTTCGAATGCTGACCCCAGATTCATCTGTGGTCAGGTTCCCCCAAGGATGGCCCAAGAGTGATCCGGACGCTCTTCAAGCTGGGGCACGCGCCATCGCACGCCTATTCGTCAACCAGGGAATGAGTCATCAAATGGGCTCTCATTGGGGAAGATATGGAAGCCTTCACCTCACTTGTGCCCTGTGAGCAGGGAATGAGGTGGACAACAACCCAAGAGCCAAGCACGACCAAAGGGTGGTGCGACTGCGTCCCATAAGCTTGACAACGAACCCGCCAAAACCATCCCAACAGAGTGAACAATGTGGAAAGCCCCTCCAGGCTCCCACTGGATGATGGAAACTCAGATGAACAAACCCCTGGGGTTGATTGATGGGGGGCTGTCTCCTTTTAGTGGGGGTCCACCACACTTAAACAAATAATATAAGAAGAAGAAAAATAAAGAAGAGAAAAAAGAAAGGGAATGAATCAAGATTCAGCCCCGGCGGCTGGCAAAAGTTCAGGCGAACATCGTGGTCGCCCTCGCAGAGGTCGTAGTAGAGGCCATGGTCCAAGAGCACCAGCTGCGGGCGTTTCTGGCCGCTGGGGCCCACCGCCTCAAAACTCGACGAACGGACCGGATCCCTTTTTTGAAGTCGTAGGCGAAACCCGGTATTAAATTAAAATGGTCGACCCAGAACCATGCAAAGAATTCAGAAGGTGGGATTGTCCCTTACTACCTTCATCTACCCGGGTGTTGATTGTAGCCCTTTCGGGTTGGGCATCTGCCCCAAAATCTGTGCACAGAATGGACAGGAAGCACTGAACCATACTGAACCCCACCTGGATTTTGCGTGGGTTGCAAACGCATTTGCCGAGATTTGATGGTTCAAACATGTTCAAACACTCTCGAGACCGAACGCGGGCAATCAAATGTGAACCTCCCTGCCCCTCAGATCTACTTCGCCGTGGGTATTCCTGACCCGTGTTTCTCACAATAAGGGTCCACCTTGGAAAGTTTTCAAGCCCCTGAAGCAGTCCCAAACTTTCAGAAACATCGAGATCCTGACCACCGTCCAAAGGCTGCCCTCCCTTTGTGGGGTCATGCAGTCATGCCCACGGTAGACATGCCCAATGAGCACTTCTTCAAAGGGAGAGTTTGATACACCATCGCGGTGGGAAGAATCACATGGTTTGCATAGCCCCGGTGCTTCCCCCAAACCACGCCCCTGCCAAGCCACTCTGAAGTAGATGTTCCCAGCATGCGGGTCTGCGTGCACCCTGCCATGCACCTCGGAGACTCGGAGTCCAACTCGCTGCCCACTTCCCTAACATGGAACCGGACTGAGGGGTCCTGGAAGACTATTTTCCTTTTAAAGGGATCTTTGGTGGGTACACGTTAGTTGTTGGAAGGGTATCTTTTCTTCTCATCAAAAGATGTAAGATGGTCCCAAACGTTGACACAGACTGCTGAGTTTAACAAACCTCTGGCAGATTTTTATGGGAGGGACATTCCTTTGAAGCGGGGTCTGCTTCCCTGTCTAGTCCTACAATTTCATGTTTCGAGCCCTCGCCAAAAGCAGGAAACGGAATCACAAACGGGATTCCAGGGCGTGCCCCTTAAAACCCCTCCCCAATCAGACATTTTCACAGGTGCAAATTTCAGAAGGAATCTTCGAATCCTAGGTAAGAACACCGGGGCCGAAGTGGGTCGAACGCGCTCAACTCGTGGTGTCGAACCTAGTTGTCCTGCTGGAAAAGTAAATGGCGCTGGTAAATTATTGGCCAGCTTGGAACCAACCGGCTGACCATGTTCGGCCAACCTAACCGAAAACTGGGTCTGGTGAAGTGACATCCTCAACAATATCCTCTGAATGGCAGGCTTCCTACATCTTCCTACCCCCGAAAGTGACTTCAGAATGGGCCCCTCGAAGAACTCGAAGGGGCCCAGGGTTCGTCAAGTCCATCAATGGTCCCCTCAAAAGCAACCAGTTCAACAAACCCAGGTGCAGGAACCCCACCCAGCAAGCTCAGTCTGGCAATATTCAAGAGTCTCCAAACCCCAAACTCTAAACGCCAAGATCTCCACTCCGCAGAAAAAAAAGGGCTCGTATGACGCGTAAACTGCCGCGTTTTCTGCGACTTCCATGAAAGTCACATCCTCAAAACTTGTCCCTCTGAATGATGGAAGGGCTCCCCGCTCCCCAACAATCAACAACAAGTCCCACGTTCACCAGGGACTCAGGAGCCGAGCCGTAATTACTCGGCAGCCGAGCCGTCGATGCGATGCGAATCGATGCGGGCGGCGAAGATCATCTCCGCGAAGGTGTCGCAGAGCAGCTGGGCGCATTCCGCCACGTCCAGCCCCGCCTTGCGCAGGCCCACGGGGTCGTTGGCCTCGAGTGAGGGGTGGGGCCGAAACGCCGGGGCCGAAAAGCCTGAGTTTTTTGGCAGGGGACGCCTGAAAGGGGGGGTCAGGGATGCCCCCATACCTTGAGGGGGGTGGGCAGGTCCCCCAATTCCATTTATCTAGTCTTCCCGGTCTTCCCCATAATTGGAAAAATGGAACGATAAATTGAATTTCCAGGGTCACCCTTCTCCCCCTATTCCATTTTTAAGGAGGTACTTTCAGAACAGTGGGGTGGGGAATGGTTCGCATTTGAGGCAAGATTAACGTGGTTTGTCAGGGGTTGACCTTTTCATTCCTCCTCGTGGGCAATCTGGGGTACACCCTCAAACAGCAGGGCAGAACTGCACTTGTAGAACGTTTCAACTTGCATTTTACGACAAGGGCCGTGGGCAAAAGGAAGAACCTGGGCCCTTCTGATCGACAAGCCTAAACCAGTTCCCTTGGGTTCCTCAAAGCCTTTGGGAAGGTGACGTGAGGTTGGGGGACGGGGTGGTTGGATCCTAGGTCGAACCCGCAGGCCCCAACTTACGTACTTTGGCACAATTTGTTCTCCCATCAAACAACCAAAACAAGAGTACTCTCATGTACCCTCACAAGAAAACTGAACCCTTGTCCAAAAGCCGCATGCGCAGATCATAGCAAACATCGGGTGCTCAAGGCGACTCGACCCACTTGCCTGTCAAGTCCTAAAACCGAAAACCGATGGCGAGGATCAAAGGAGCCGAAGAAGCCGGGGAATGTCTCTCAGTTTGGAAAGAGGGTGGCGCGTTCCTGTATCATGAGTGCGCCTTTTCCGCTCGCCTTCAGAACAAGAAAGCAGACAACCAAATCCCGCAAGCATGCCCACTAGTTCACTTCTTTAAGCAGTTGTCCTCTCAAAGGCTAAGAGACAAAACACACTGCAAAAAGTCAACTTGCTGGTTGAGAGGGAAAATTGCTTAACCAACAAATGCAAACAGCCAGGTATGGTAAACGGGACCCATGTGCGCGCCAAACGAAGCAGGCAGCCCCCGCCTTCAGCAGGCCGTCCAAGTACTCCATGACCAGCACTCTAGAGGAGGACAGCTCCTGGACAGCAAGAAGCAGCGTTCGACACCCTTTATACGTGGACCGGGACTCCGTCTGTGTTTGGGCTGCCTGGCACAAGGGTAGAAAGTTAGCCACCTGCGAAGGAAATGTCCTCTTCAAACATCACACTAGAAGACAACTCCCTTGCAGCCGGTCGAAAAGGTGATACTCTCACCGCAGAGAATGTCGTGGCTCAGCGCCCGCCTAACCCGCCAAGGAAGTCCGCAAAAGGAACACGATAAAAATAAGGCTGAATAGTTACGAAGACTTAGTGTCCTAAGTGTGGTTACGACTCAATTTGGTTGATGGTACCCCACAACACCGTTGGCCCTTAGGGTAGCAAGTGCAGGGGCCTCCGGGCCTCCGTTTAGCAGCTCCTTGCTGCTGCAAGGGCATGGGCTAGGGTCCACAGGTTCACTCATCTTCCCAAGCTCCAGTTCTTGATGCAAAGGTGCCAGACAAGCCAGAACAAAACAAAACAACTAAATAAACAGCACAACGCAACACAAACCAAAACAAACAAGAACCCAAGCAGGATCTCAAACAAACAAACAAACAAACAAACAAACAAACAAACAAGCAGATCGCCGTCAAGCGAGCCTTGAAGACCTTCGGCACGTAGATCTGCTCCCGGTGCGCTAGCTGTCGTGCCGTCTCCTCCCCGTTGAGAGCCTCCAAGGTGAAGTCCAGCTCCCGCTGCAGGTTCGTCTCGAAGTCCTCTCTCGGAGAAAGGGGGGGGAAACTCAAGGCTGTTACCATATACACCGACAGATTAACATGGAACCCCAAAACAGTTAGGGTGGGCCTTGCCCATCTTTTTGTGGTACCCGAGCGTGACCCCCACCCTACGCAAGAACAGCATTTTTCAACCATTTTTTCACTATTCAAATCGTCATCCTTATTCATTATGCATATTTCCACTCAAAACATTTCATAACAGTCTCAACCTCAAAATCCATCAAAAAAGTCACATTTTCTCATTTTCTATTCCATCATTCTTGTCATTGTTAGGATGCTTGTGGGGAAATAGAAGTATAGGGTGGTTCATATGATATGGTTATTGATGGTAGGATGCATGGGCAAGGTTAAGCTCATTCATAAAAAAAAAATCAAAAATAATATTTCTCAAAAAAAAAAATATTTTCAAAAAATAATATCTTCAAAAAAAAATCAAAAACTAAATTTTCAAAAAAACAAGTCATATTTTCAAAAAATAATATCTTCAAAAAATAAATTTTCAAAAATATTATTCCAAAAATTATGATAAATTATCTTACAATATGTTTATCATAAATTTTGTAGAAATATTATGGGCAAGGTTATGTTCATTCATTAAAAAAGAAACACAAAAAACAAATTTTATAGAGTATAACTATGGTATAATGAAAGGTTATAAAGTTTTACAATGTTAATTTATATTATAATAACATAATATAAATAAACTGTCGCCCCAAAAAAGGGGGAACCCCACCTAATTTCAAGAAAAACATGCTGTTTTGTCGTTGGATTATTATCTATGAATAAACCCCCGTATCTTCATCATAGTCAATTTGATAAAATGTCATAGTTGAAGCCTTCGGTTCTTTAATTTCTTTGTTATTAAGTTTGTTTAAATAAATATTTCTTTTATTTTTATATTCACCATTGGTTCTATCTACTTCTTTACTTTGATAACTGTTTGTTAAAGGTTTCTTCTTTTCCATTTCTTGCAAGATTTCTAAAATATTCTTATTCTGTTCTAAAACCTTGTTCAGTTTTTTAACAATCTTTTCTAATCCTTCATCCATGTAAATATATATATTATATTATAAAATAAAACTTTTAAAACTAAACTTTTATTTTACAAAATCATATATCATTATAAGTCAATTCAAAATTAGTTATTGTGTAACTCGTTAAATTATTATTCAATTTACCAATTAAATTACAAATAATAGTTTTTCTAAATTTTGAATATTTATGAAACTTTTCAATATTATCTGTAATATAAATTATTAAACATTTAATACATTCAAACACATTAACAACATTAATGTTACTATTTTTGTAAATATTATTCATTTTTCTCAATGTAATTTCATAAAACTGAATAGCATTTTTATTATCATAATTAGCAATAAATCTTAAAGTATATGAATATATTCTTTTACAATAGAATTTTAAATCTGATTGTTCAAATAAATCAGCATAATTAATAGAATTATAAAACATGTTAAAATCAATTTTGCTATTTCTAAAGTCATTAACAAAATTAATTAATATATCATTTTCGTTATATTCTTCAATAAAATTATTCAATTTCAATTCTTTTACATCAATGAATTTAAGAATATTATTTATAACATCTTGCATTATAAATAATAATAGAAATAATTTTAACTATTATTTTTCAGCATTTCGCGTATAGTTTCCTGAGTTTCCTTATCACCATTAACGGATGGTGATGCATGCCTTCCCCATTTGATAGCAATATTATGAACATCTGTTTCTAAGTTGATAGTGTCTTTAGTTTTATCAATATTCATTTTCTTATCATTCTTACTTATTTTGAAACTGGTTGGAATAAACGAACATTTACAATGCCCTTTCTTTTGTATTTCTAATTCATTCTTCATTTCTAAGATTTTTTACACATTGGACAAGCAAACTCAATAACTGATGTTTCTTTAACATTTTCTTCATCAGTCGAAGAAACAACTGGTTCAGTCTTGTTCTTTTTCTTTCTTCCCATCTATATTAATATTTATATTTTTAATATATTGTATCACAAACTTAATTAATTCGAAAACAAAATAGCATACTTTTTTGAATCTATTATCAGTTATAACAACTTGTTCTAAATTCTCTACTTCATCTATTATATCAATATAATCTGAATAGCTTCTATTCATATAAAATAATAAATATAAAATATTTTCTAAATAACTTTAATATTATTTTATTATGTCAGATGTGCCAATAATAAAGCCAATAAACATAACTGAATATGAATTCAAACAATCTAAATATGAGCACGTGCCAAAATTACCATTTAGAAGTATTATAGTTGCGAGTTCGACAGGCGGTAAGACATCTTATTCAAAATTTAATATTGAATATTTATAAATTCATTTGCAAGAATATATATAATTTTCAGGTATTTCATAACGATCCAACCTTTACAGAAGTTAAAAAGTATATTGGGATGAACTACGTAGATGATGAAGAACAAATTTATTTTGACAATTACAATCCAATTGATATAGAAAATGTAATTGAAAGACAGAAGAAAATTATTAACTATATGAAGTCTAAAAAGATAAAGAAACTACATTCAATATTAATCGTGATTGATGATTTCAGCGACGACCCCAAGTTTTTAAGATATTCTAAAATATTACACGGTTTATTTACAAGAGGTAGGCACGATGCAATCAATGTTATTTGTTCTTTACAAAAATAAAAATCAATCGCAAATATAATTCGTGTTAATGCTTCTTCACTATAAATTTTCAGACTCAAAAACATTACAGAACTAATGAGTTTCATTGAAGAAAACGCAGCGATAGTGGATAAAGACAAACTGTTAGACATGTATCACACGGCAATAAATAATTCTTCGTATTCTTTCTTTTATGTAAATCTAAATTCTAAAGACATTAACCACATGTTCTACATTAATTTTGAACACCGATTTACGATTACCGATGAATAATATTTAAAGAATACTTTATAATACTCTATAATACCTGACGATGCCACGTAAGGAACTAAACTACGATAAAACCTATTTTTATAAAATAGTTTGCAAGGACTTAAATATCAAGGACTGTTATGTTGGACACACATTAAATTTTAAAAACAGAAAGTCAGCACACAAAAGAACTTGTTATAATGAGAATGACAGAGAACACTCTAATTCTTATGTTTATCAATTTATAAGAAACAGTGGAGGTTTTGAAAATTTTGACATGATACTAATACAAACTGAAAGGTGTGAAAATCGTTTGGACGCGCTAAGGAAAGAACGAGAATATATTGAACAATTGAATGCGACATTGAATAAAACCCGACCAACAAGAACACCAGAAGAAGCAAAGCAATATAGGTTTGATTACTATGAAGAGAACAAGGAAGAAAGAAAGCACAAAAATAAACAGTATCGTGATGACAATGCTGAAATTGTTAGAGAACAAACGAGAAAGTATAGAAACCAAGCACATGTCAAGGAATATATGAAACAGAAAAACAAGGAATGGCGAGAAAATAATGAACAATATGCAGAAAAACGAAAGGTTAAATATTCTTGTGATTGTGGAGGTAGTTATACATGTGGTCATAAAATGAGGCATGAAAGAACAAACAAACACCAAGAATATTTGAAATCTTTACAACCAGAAGAAACCCCAGAACAATAATTAATAATATTAATGTATGTTAATATTATCAATTTAGAATAAAGAATAGCTACATAAATTTAAGGCAGGAAATTTATAATATGTTTTATCTTTTTTACATTCATTAACTTTTTCTAATTTATTTATTATTGCTTTCAATGAATTTATTTGTAGAATATCAATTCTTGACATTTCACTTATCGTATTTACATCTATATCTTTTATTACTTTAATAGCCTCTTCATCATCAATTTCTACTGGTTTTGATTTACTTGAACCCATTATATATAATATTATTTAGATTTTAATTTTTCAAAATTATATTTTTGTTTTTCTTCTCCGTCTTCTTCTTCTTCGTCTTCAGTTGGTGCTGGTATTTCTGTTGGACTTTCAGATGAAGAACTATGAACAGTAATAGGTGGAGAACTATGAACACTAATAGCTTCATTTGATGAATTGCTACTGCTACCTTGTGCATTTCCTGCTGTTATTTGATTAACTAAATCTGCGATATTTATTGTTGTTGCAATTGCGCTATGTGATAAGTTTAATATTATATCTGCTACTGTAGCGCCGTTGTGTAGCATTATTTCTATCATTTTTGTCAGTTTGAATCTTTTTTCTTCTTCGTCGCTGTCCTCCTCGTCTGGTGGTTTCTTTGGCGGTGGTTCTGGTGGTTTGTTGTTGTCGAGCATTTTAGTAAAGGCTGACACCATTGCATCGCGTTGGTTTTTCAGGGTTTGTGTTGCTTGTGTTCTTGTTGGCTCATGTCTTTTGTATGTGTTGTGCCAAAAGTTTTTAAGCATTATTTTAAACATATTATCTTGGTTTTCCTTTACCTTAAACGCTTCGAATGTCATATTTAATTGCTGATTTGCATCATTGTATAACTTTTCTTGAGTCTCTCTGGTTTCTGTTGCAATTGTATCTGTATTGGTTGCAATGTCAATAAATTCTCTCGGTATGCCTTTTTTCATCATTTTCGGTGGTTGTATTGTTGTTGGTGTGTTTGGTTTTGTTAGGTTATGTATTGAAAAACTGTCGTCGTGATCATAATTATCATTGAACTTTGCTTCTTTCTTTTCAGTATATTTTTAGTTAATATTATCATTATTATTATTATTATTTATATTTTATTTCTTACCTTTACCCTTAAAACTTGCCTTGAGTTCTTCTATTCTACCTTTGCTTAAATTTGCTATCCACCGCCATTATCAATAGTGTCTAAAATCATATCCACTAAATATTCTTTGTATGTTCTCGCCCTGCCTCTTCCCTTTTGTTTCAATTCTTCTTGTATTTCGCTTTCTTCTGGCACTTGAATTCCTCTTAAATAAAACT